TAGGAGAAAAAATAATATCAATTTCTTATTAAATATTTTATTCCATTAATAACTTATATTTGATAGTTTTTCGATCTATGCAACAACAGTAATAATAATGTGTACAATGTATAATTTTTCATATAATTTATCATATATCTATAACGCATACATGATTCTACCTAAAATTAATTTTCATTAGATTTTATTTATCTCACATAAATATGGCTTGGCAATAGTGTCAAAATGGTTTGTTGTAAAATGACACCATATGTCTTTTATATGTTTAAGCCACAATTTTTTGAAGTAATGAGTTCAAACTCAATTCAAGGGACACGATTACATATACATTTTCTGTACATAGGACCTGATGTGTCCAACAGTTATTCTATACACATCTTACTTGTATGTATCTCGTTTTCATTGTTTTTCCATGACATGTACAAATATAAATTATAAACTTCTTGTACTAAGCTTGCATGTTAGAAATTGTTGAGTGTATTATGTTTTATACTAAAATAATATAAAAAGCAAATGTATAATAAATAGTTTGTAGGATGGATCACTAAGAATATGTAAAAAATATTTAAATTCATTTATGGCGATTATTTTCTTAACATTTACTGAACCTAGTGTGTAGATTAACCCTTGGACGGACTGAACTAACTTCATTTCATTGTTTTCTTTCCATTATTGTGCCATAATTAAATTGATTGTACCTTTCTTGTGTATAAAATTATTTTTAGAATTTTAATAATTTATGATTTCTTTTTAGTTCCTTCGAATAATATAACTTTTATATAGGTCAGTTAAATTGTTTGCACACATTTTTGTAGGCTTTCTTAAATATTGTGTTTATTGTTTGTGTACAAACAAATTTGAAGCCTATCATAGTACTAAGAACCAACTAAAGAAGCATGGAACTTCGCTATAAATTAAACAATTTTAATCGTAAATTTTAATAATAAATTTGACTATAAATATTATAAAGTTAAAAATTAAACAAATGAATGAAAATAATTAAGTTCCATGGAAACTAAGTGTCTCACAAGGGAATATGCTTCTATTTTAATTGTAAGTTTTTTACAGAATGTAATTATTAACATATGTTTGGTCAGAGAGTCTTCTATTGATCATTGTTATACATTTCCAAAGTTATATTTCTAGTTATACACGACTTTCGCGAATGTCCGCCAATGCTCCGAAATTTCTGGTCTCCTCGTCAGAGTAATTGGATTCAGTTTCTACTACCTGTGATCTACCAGCGGCCTCTTCGGTGCTTTGGTTTCTGATATAGTATCCTATCGAATTAGATTCCGTATTATGGTTTGTTTCATCCGCCTGAATGTTATCAGCATGTGCATTTCTTAGACTAGACTGATCCTCTTGATTTAGTTGTGCTGCTCTTGACCTGTCGTTCTCGTTTGGAATGCCATACCAATTTTGCGAAGTATGGCTGTTATTGCGTTCCTCGGAGCGAGGTAACCGAACGAAAACTACACCAGTCTCTTGGTTATCTCTATGTGAATTCTCTACATTATTTCTACTTTCTTGACTAGTTCTAGACAAACTTCGAACGAGATTTCTCGTATTCATTAACTCATTTGCCGATGTTATATTCCTTGATACTTCCTCGGTATTATTCAGAGGAATTCTTTCGTTGTTTCGAATGGTATTATCGGACGCACAATAATTTCCATTGTCTGATAACGGATTGTGCTGTCGTTGGGTTTCATTTCCGTTCATAATGTGAAACGAAGTTTCATCTTGGTATGTTCTAAGCGCCTCAAAATTCGCATTGCTAAATACTCGAGGTACCATCTCCTGGCTCAACCGGTACAATTCTAATTCGTTATCTACGTAATAGCTATCGAGAGGATTGCTAATGATCGATGGATTTCTTGAGACGTGTCTTCGTGGAAAACTCTGACTCGAGAAATTCGTTACTGTTGCGTACGGATATGCTATTCCGTTCATTGGATTACCTAATATATGCGGACAACCATCTAGGCTCTGCATTTCAATTTCCTCTTTGCCATCGTGACAATATCCTTGCATATCTATCTCATGAGGAAGGTTAGCGAACCTAGCAAAACACTGTACATTTAACAAAAACATCGCGGGAAAATATTTATCGTAACTAACCTTGAAAATAAACCCTACCTGTGTAACAGGATATCAGAATAGGATGGTGGCATGTCTGACTCTTCTTTCCCATAAATGCTTTCATAAGTTGGTGGTGGAAAACATCCAACAGATCCCAAGCTATCTTTGCTCGGCGTCTCTGCGTCCATTTCAAGTATACTACCTTGGCTGTTCTGCAACTGATGTCGATTTATGCTTCGGGGATTTCTTTGTGCACGGAGCACGCTATCACCGAGTTCCACTAAATCTAAACCTGTTCAATAGAGAATAAACATAAATTAATTCTCCATTCTGCTATCTGCATCTTAATTATTTTCTTGAACCCGGTTTCACAAAAACGATATTTATACGACTCTTAAAACGCATCTTTGTTTGAATCGAGCAAACTCCTCTGTCTCGTATTGGTTCTCGTACGATCGATTATTCGATTTATCATATTCGTACGATCGATTATTAATTCTGGATTGACACACAGGGGACTTTTATCACCCCGATACATTCTATATCACAAAATCATTGCAAATATCAAACTTCTTTAACTTTCTTCGAACGTTTCTAAGTTAAAAATAAACGAATTTTCGATGTCATCAAGATTGAAAAATTCTCTCACAGCGTGATTCTCCACACTACTTTAAGTAGTAGTTAGAAACTAATAATTATTTGTTCTAGAAGTGATTATCATTTACTTAGTCGTTAATATGTCGACTTCGTTTTCTTCAGATAACGATCCATCTATGATATAATTATTCAGAAAGCTGAAAAGCCCGAAATTAAATACCTGAAAGTATTTCTTCGATGAATTTATGTAAAACTTTTTATATATTTCAAACGTACGAAAATCAAGCTAAATCTGAAAGACCCCAAGAGTGTGATATTTGATAGTCGAAAAAAAAAAGAAGAAAAAAAAACAAAAACAGTGTGCCATGTCAGGGTTAAGAACAATAGGCAAGGCAAAGTCTAACATCCAGTTGCAATCTCACCAGTTGGATCGCTTTGGAACTGCGTGAAGATTGTACCGTCCACAACGAGCATCCTACCGTGTGGCAAGAGGATAATTGTCGGCGTTGCTACCATCGCCTGATCGTTATTGCTGAATCGTGAGTCTGGCTCAGGATCCTCGAGACGGCAGCAACAGTGTCGTCTGCACAGAGATCGGCAAAATGGTGCCCCCCAACAGCAATACGCGAAGATGAAGCATAGCACCGCGAGCATCACCAGTAGAGCGGCTACACCTTGGCCTTGTTGAGCGGCTGCGAGGGTTGGACCGCCGGCGACGCCGACACCGACGCCGACGCCGTTTCGAATATCGATCGATCTTTTTTCTTTTTTCTTTTTCGATTTTTTCATTCTGAAAAATTGTTTCTTTCTGAATTCATGACGTTCTTTTTAATTTTTTATTCCAAAAAAAAATGATTTTTTTTTTTATTCGTGATTTTTTCATATTTTTATTCTAAAAAAATTCTTCCTTTCTCTGAATTCATGAAAAAAAGAAAAACTTGCTTTCATTTTACACGCACTAATTCATAAACGATTTCCCTGCGGCAAACTTTGTTTCTCGAATACGTAACGCTCGTCGTGACAGAACGGGGTAGATGTTCAACCGAGGCCGACGTGAAGTCTTTTCTTTTCGTGTGTATCGTTTGAAAATTTGTTTTGTTAAAGATGGAAGTGCGCCAAAATGGCTCCGATAGCAATAGCGCCGAGGAAATTTTCAAAATGCCTATTGGCGCCAACGGCAATGAAAGGGTTAAGAAACAATCAGACGACACACTCATAAATGTCTTTTCCTTTACGCAATAATCGTATTTCAATCCGCAATGCGGAGCAAGTAGCGATACTAACGTTCCATGTTCCTGGCAGTATTCCAATCTTATGCGATAAATTTTCGTGTAAGCAGAAATTTTCACGCTCATCGTTAAGCGTTTCAGCTAGTCAGTTGCGTACCAACGTGTAATAAAATGAAAGCGAAAATAAAGAAAAGACAAATTCGCGAAGAATCTTTTTCACTTCAAAAGTTCAAACACGATGTTTTATAATAAAGTTTGCGCGTTAGTTACAGCGCGGGCAAAAAAAAAGAAATGTAAGTTTGAACGCCGTAACGCTCTCTCTTATGCTAACAGAATAAATTTCGTTATCTGTCGGGAAGTAAAGCAAGGTGAAAGTGAGAAGAGTGCGGTAATACTGGCGTATCATAGCCGGCCTCAGTAGGTCAGTCAATTTCAATATTTCGAGATTCATAGATTACGCGTTTTTGCGCAGGAAACTTCGAACACAGAGTAAGTTTCATTTGCGTAAATGATAAATTAATGATAAGGGATCAACAACTATCCTACAGTTCAATTTTCAATACAACGATAATCTTCCGTTTATAAATTTTACTCAGAACATTCGTCACTTAAATTTTCGATATATTCCATAAGATCATTCCTGACAATAAACGATACCCCTTGAAATAATCTCTATTCTGATTTCCTGTAACAAATTGTCGAACCTATTGCTTCCTAGATCAATTTTGTGCAAAACTGTTGAAATAAAAAGAAACCAACTTTTTATAAAAAAAAAACCATATAAGAAAAAATGAACGTGAAAAATGTATTTACCTTGGGTGGTAATGTTGTACAGCCAAGTCGTCCCCGTGGTGGTTACTGACTCCGTGATCTTGCGCGACCCGTACACCATGAAAATAATTTTCCCTATACTTCGCTGAAAAATATCCCCTTCCTTTCTTCAACGATGCACAAACATCAAACAATCACGTTGACAGTTGTTGCACGTAACACATCGCATCGTGCGATTCAAAAGTTTGTGTATTTAAATTGAGAACAAATTGAAGAAACTTGGACGAACAAACTGGTTCATTCTTTTAATAGTTATCGGCGCGATAACACGGCCGCTCGTTTCGTTTCTTCCACGATCTCATTTTTCCATTTATTTCCTTTGTATTTTCCTTAATGTATGGATTATATCTCAAAGAAGTTTCTTCGTTTGTTACTTCTTTTTCCGTGTCGCAAACCGTTACGATTCTGAGATTAATTGAAATAATCGAACTGTGAAAGTCATTCTTATTGACATTGCGTACGACGACGCGCTTGTTGTATCGCGATCTTAATGATCCTCGCGACCAGTCCGCAGGAGGATCTCTTCACGAAGGCATCGAGCGTGAAGTCGAATAACGTACACTGTCATCGTGGAGATACTCTTGACCCATTTTAATATCTCCCCACTTAAATATCAACCTGCTGCTTTTCGCCTTCGATGCCACTATTTCTCAATCGGGAACGTCCTCGTCCACCGGTTCGATATATATGTATATATATGTATTTCCTTTCTTGCCGCTTTTGCCGCGTTTCCCTCTTTGCGACGAAAAAAAATTAATTCTGCCACTAAACTTAAACTTCTATCGTTCGATCGATTTTTCGTATCGACGAAACGTTGATTTTTACTGCGCTGTTATTTTAAGTTACGTATGCTCATTATTGGCATTCTTTCTATTTCACTTTATCCAGTTATTACTTCTGCCTTGCGAATCAGTTGTAATAACGAAATTGTGTTTCACCGATCGAAAATTCAAATCTTGCGGAATACGTCCGCTGATCGATGTCATTAGACGCAGTGCGGTTTTTAAATAATAGAGGAATGAATCAATGCATTCGACTGCCGGATATTGAAAGTAAACTAGGTTTACCTGTCATGCCATCAACTTTGTGAAACACTCAGTAATTTGATATATGTATATCCCTCTGCATTTAACTTTTTAATTATCGATAAATAATATACGTCTTGCTGTACATTGTAATTCTTTTGCGATTTTTAGGAAATTTCATTCGTCTACTTGTAAACGAAATTTTTTTTTCACCTCTTACTTAAGGATTCACCATATTTTGTTCGACTCTTAAATCGAATCGCCGACATCCCTTTCCTTTCGTGACTTTGACGTCATAGACTGCAGATCAAGGCGCGCCATATTATTTACTGTAGATGTATTGTGCTTTCACAGAATGAGCACTCGAATTATTATTTTTTTCTATGGTGTTCAATTCCTATATGATGTTCAAACATGTCACTATCATTTCTCCAAGTAAAATTTATCAAATTTTCAGTAATGGCATACGCATGATTTGCACGCGTTACCATACACTCAGAAACAGAATTGCATACATGTGATAACATTTATCAGATCCAAGGGGCAAGTTGCACACTTGTCACTTTTAACATTATTTTCATAGGATCACGATTTATAAATATTGATTTACACAAAATAATATAGCGATAAATTTAACCTCTAATTTTTTCGAAGGAAGTACGATCACAGAAAAATCTTGTCGTTTTTTCATTGTACGTTTGTTAATATATGGGTTACATTAGGTATATGAGGCCACTGTGTCGAATGCGTTACTACCTTCGAACTTCTCTCCAGCTTGTGGGGCGCAGCACCTTCTCACGGCCCCTCGAGACACTGGCTTACGATTCGTCGATGTTCTCCTCGGTGGCGCTTGTTTGTCTTCCCACCCCTTGTACATAAAATGAAAGCGGCTATGCTATTCTTTTTACCCCTTTTTATCACACTTATTTTAATACCATAAAATTTTTTCTTTAATCTCATATATCGTTAAAAAATGGTGCTTACGGCTTTTTTTATTCAAATTAGATTAAAAATTACAAAATAATGCTGTTATTTAGAAATATATCTAATAATTTACATTTACCAATAAAATTGGGGAGAAACCACTTCTCTGGTAAAATGTTTAAAAGCCATTTTTTAAAGGACTCTCTTTCAGTTTTAGTTGGTTCATATTCTACATTATACAGTGGTACAAACTTGATGTTCACTCTAAGTTCTGTTAAAATGTTATATCTTTTTCCCATTGAATTGGAACCAATCCATTCATAGTATCATGGATTTGTAGAAGAAGTGGGGTACTTATTCCAGAATTCTCTTTTAAATGTTATATGTTCATAATGAGGAAAAAAAGATGTCAAATGTATTCATGTTGAAAAAGATAGTGAGAAAGTTTATAACATACACACCTAATATATCAATGAGTTTTTATTAAGAAAACTACACATAGAACAATAACCAGCTAAAGATAATTTGTATCTACATATATGTTATGTGAAAAACTAGAGCACTACCCATTGAAACATCAGTAACAATGATTCTATCATATGGTATTCTAAGAGAAACCTCTTTATCAATAAATTCCATTACATTGTGACATATCGGATTTTATTGATTCTACATCTTTGGAAACATTATTAAATGTACTTTTACGATCAAATCATACAGTGCTAAGCTGGAATAATAATTATTTTACATAAAATAATCATTGTTAAAACTTTTTATGTTACTTTAAATTCATTGTATGAATGTATTACCATCCATCAGCAGGTGTATAAGGTTGAACAGGTGCAGTAGGGTAAACAATTTTTATATGTGGAAACTTCAATTCCTGTCTACTTACAATATCAATCCACTGATTTTACATTTCCTCCATTTCCTCCTAAAATCAAAATATGATAAATGAAATAACTGACAATAAATTATACATAATTTAAAAACACATACACAAAAATGCCATAATAAATATACCTGAACTATAAGAAAAAAATAGATTGGCGTTATGCGTTTTAGTAACATTTAAAATATTAATTGATGTTTCAACGTTTCCCTTGATAATTTTTTATCAAGTGTTAAACCACATAGACAAAAGTTACAACGTGATTGATCAATTTTCATACTGAACATTCACTTCGTATTAAAATTTTGCCTATTGCTTTACTGAGCAAAGCAATATGTCCAACATTCACGTTTAACAATTCCTACGTGAACATAGTCAAATATTCCTATTACTTGAAGGTGGTTCTCATCATTTCAATTTCATAATTATTTTTTCTAATCATTGTATCCTTACAATCAATACACAAACGAGACGTATAATATCATTAAAAACATTTATACAACTTATTTTAAAGCAATCCTAAGTGTGCGTTCTTTTCGATCATTTAAAAACATTGTAAATTGAACTAACATCGATTACTATGCCAACATAAATTACACAGTCACAATATTTAAATGATACATATTTCATTATACATTTGAAATAGATTTTAACTATTTTAGAAAAGAGTCATCATTTTATTGCGCATAAAAACCATTGCTCCGTTAACCATGGTTGAACCGTCGACATAACCACATTTCTGCGCACGCATATCTCGATTTTCATTCGACTCTCTTCGAGATCATTTGAAAACGCATGCCAGACAGACGATCCGCCTGGGTTAAGGCACGAGTGCTTGTGACCGTGTTGACAGGGTATTGGTGTCGCGTAGATGGATACGTCGGTGGTGTTCTGCTAAAATTCTTCTCACACTGTTCGACCGGTAGAGTTATGTTTAATGAGTCGTAACGACCTGACGGAACGATGCAGAGAAGTGGTGAGTGATCAGAAGCTTTATTCAATATGTATCTAAATGTAGAAATTCGACAGCTCGCGGAGACATCCATTTTGAGGGCGCCAAATTTTTGCGTCAATACACAGCGCCGTAACTGCCCGGTCAATACGGCAGCCGACCTAACCTACCAACTATTCGGTAGAAACAGTCTCGACCACGCTTTAATTTAGCCACTTAAACTGTATTATTGCCTTCTTTACTTTACGATCGAGTCATATGCCCTTGAATTTCAGATTCTCCTGATTCGTATCACTCTGTAATACATTATTCACGAGTAATTTTTACTCTTTTTTTTCTTTCTACCGTGTAGTTCGTATTATTTTCTTTTCACACGGGGACCGTGTCAACAGCTTGATTTCTCCCGAAAACATTGTATGAAATTCGGTGTACCGTAATGTTTCCGTACTGCGTACGCTTTTATCATGTGACAATAACTAACTTCCTGTTGGCTCAAATGTTAGATAAGAATATTATGACATAGATGAATTTTTAATTGCACGTATCATATTTTGCGTGTTATGGTACGATAACTGAATGATATCAGGTGTTTATTTAAATTATCATCTGTTAAAATCTGAACATCTTTTCGTATTCCTTATTCTCTCATGGAAATTCGACATTTCTGGTAATCTCGTTTCGATTTTCGTGGTACAACATTGTAAAGCGTGCTTGTGGTATAATATAGTTTGATGGTATGCTTCCTCTCACTTATCACTACCACTTACTGGGCCATACACAAGTGGTCTAAATAGGACCGTGTAAATTGCCATCTGAAATTAAACAGGAGAAATCAAAACAAACCTTTTCTAAGAGCTTAACTCTGTTTAACTTCGTTGCAACCCTTTAACTATTGAATCTTTGTTTGTATATATGTACATATGTAACAAAAATAGTATATACAACTTGAGACAATTTTGAATCATTTTACAATAGACAATTAATACTACACGAAAATTTCACTTTACGAAAATTAAATTAACTAACCAATTTAATACACGAAAATAATAATATCGTTCGTTCACAAGTATGTATACAGCAGCAGCATTTCTGTTTCACTTCTTAACCAGTCGCAGTAATGCGGTGCTCTCAACCGGCTCGTTTTCTTTAGTCATGTAACATTAAACTATTATTCTACATGGCTCGGTGAAATCATATCTGTCGCATATATACCGATCTCGGTAGTAACGCAATAACAGCGTGGACATCTTGTCTCCCTGTCTCTTTTTGCTTTCTTCTCGAAACGCGTTGGAAGAAAGTTACAGTTACGTGGATAATTTTTCCAAAGTGACCGTAATATAATTTCAATAAATACAAAATAATTCGAATTTCTTTTTATTTACGATGAAATTTATTTTTCGCACAAACTGTCTCGAGAAATTATCGAACGACAAGTAATAACGAAAAAAAATGGGGGAAATAACGATCGGTTTGTTGCTCATTCGCAACGCATACCAATGTTAGTTTATTGTACATTCATTTGTCTGACCTCGGAGCTAAACTTGAATGAATAGCTATCTGTATTTAAAGATGTCTGGGGCATCTTGTCGCCTCTTCCGACTGCATCGTGTATCGGAACCACTGTTGCCGGTTATCGACCGAATATCGACGACTTATCGATTGTGTCGTTAAACCATCGATAATGCGAATAAGTGAGTCGAATGTTCGCACGCTACGGATCATTTTGTACAATTTTTATTTATTCCCGTTATCGATACTTTAACGATATCGTGGTTATTATCGATAAATAATCAATCTTTATTCGACAATCGTTTCAATGACAAACGAATTTAAATGATCGAAACAAATGGAGTAATAGCCTATTTCCAGTAGTCCAATAAACTAACAGGTAAAAGTACTCAGCCTAGCTGCTACAAAACGAGTTTTACTCGGCTCGAATTTCGAGTACTCGAACAGCTCCGCATCATGTATTATTCACAACAAGAAGGACGCTTCTTTCCTTTCGAATTCTCCGTGCTCGTACATTTCTTTCACGTTATTCCATCGTCGAATTGAAACCGTGGTCCGCCATATTTAAAAATTCAATATTTACATATTATTCCCGAAAAAAAAAAGAACTTCCATTTATTACGATCCCATTTAACCTAACCTCTAACCCGGTTGAAAACGTGACCGCTAGAAGGGGTCGTGCAAACAATAATATTGTAAAATTTCAATTGTTAAGGATGTTCTTCTATTCCGTTTACCAAGTATTTCGATAATTTCAAGTGATTTAAGAGGTTAGGTTTAAAAAAAGAAAAAATTACCCGATACTTCTATTAATTAAAACCAAAAACAAATCCGAATTTTCGAATTACCGAAATTCTACCTAATCTGCAAGAAGAGAAAAAAATTCTTCTTTCGCCTTGCTCCCTTCCTTACCGTTATACGCGCACGTTTATTTCGGGGATTTCCCATTAAAATCTGGTGAAACACACATCGGTGAGCCTTTTTTACCGACGGTTTCTCGCGACGGTTCCCTGTTCACCCTCGTACACTTTCTCTATTCACAACCCTGTTCCTCTCTATGTTGAAACTATCGTAAAAAGAGGGAGGAAAAGATTTTCAGAGTAAGTTACACAGTATGGAAGCGTGTAGGAATAAAATCGCAATGCAGGATGCGTTGCGGAAGGTTCGACGACTGATTGACGGGGCAAGAGCCACGGCACCTTAGAACCGGTGCACGAGGCCGGAACGCGAAATAGAAAGAAGGGAAGAAAGAAAGAGGGAGGCAAGCAGGCTGGTAGGCAGGCAGGCGAAGGCAGGCGGACCATAGGTTTAACATTATAATTGTCCCGCGCACAGAGAACGTTCGGCCACTTCTTCGTCGGCACGTGAAACACGCGGAGG